TGAAACAAAGTGGACGTATGTGGTATAACCGGTTAAGTGAATATCTCATCAGAGAAGGCTACAAAAACGATCCCATCAGTCCATGCATTTTCATCAAGAAATACTCAAACAAAGGATTTGTAATCATAGCAGTTTACGTGGATGATCTAAACATCCTCGGAACATCTGGTAAAATCTCCCAAACAGTCGACTGCTTGAAAGCAGAATTCGAAATGAAAGACCTAGGTAAAACTAAATTCTGTTTGGGTTTACAACTTGAGTACGTCAAAGGAGGAATCCTTGTGCATCAAGCGGCTTATATTGAAAAAGTACTCAAGCGATTCAACATGGACCAGGCCCACCCATTGACCAGCCCAATGGTTGTTCGGAGCCTAGGATTGGACAGTGATCCACTCGGTCCCAAGAAGGACGATGAAGAAATTCTCGGTCCAGAAAAGCCATACCTCAGTGCTGTAGGAGCGTTAATGTACTTGGCTAGTCACACTAGACCAGACATTTGCTTTGCCGTGAACCTCCTAGCTCGCTTCAGCTCATGTCCAACTCAGAGGCACTGGAATGGTATCAAACACCTCCTAAGATACCTTCAAGGTACTAAAGACTTAGGACTGTTTTACACTAACCACAACAAGGATGGACTAGTTGGCTTTGCTGATGCAGGATATCAATCAGATCCGCACAATGCCAAGTCTCAAACTGGTTATGTGTTCACGCATGGAGGAACAGCTATCTCTTGGAGATCGATAAAGCAGACAATCACTACCACTTCATCAAACCATGCAGAACTTTTGGCCATTCACGAAGCCAGCAGAGAATGTGTTTGGCTACGATCCATGACTCAGCACATCCGATCAGATTGTGGTATGAAAGAAGATAAGGAGCCCACGGTTATGTTTGAAGACAACGCGGCTTGCATTGCTCAACTCAAGGAAGGTTATATCAAAGGAGATCGGACGAAGCACATCCTACCTAAATTCTTCTCAACCTCGGATTGGCAGAAGGATGGTACGATCAGCGTTCAACAGGTCCGATCAAGCGATAACTCCGCCGACCTTTTCACCAAATCATTGCCCGCTTCAACACTCCGGAAGCTCATCCAACAAATAGGAATGCGTAGACTTAGAGATCTACGGTGATGCTCTAATCAGGGGGAGTAATGCGTGTTGTACTCTTTTTCCTTCACCATGGTTTTTCCCACTGGGTTTTCCTGGTAAGGTTTTAATGAGGCAACATTCCCCAGCGTATTATCGAGATCCCGATTGACCATCAGGTCCGGTTACTCCGTCCAAGGGGGAGTGTTATAATACATCATATTGGACTTATAACCGGGCCCAATAAGCCCATCAGGGTTATTCATTATGTACTCTAAAACCCTAGGTTTATATGCCTATATATATGTATCATTATTCATGGAATGAGAAGAGACAACAATAAGTTTCACAACATAGTCACAATTTTCATATTTTAACTTTTTGATCAAGTTAAAATATTTTTTAATATATGATCAAATTAATATTTAATATACTTACCAAAAAAAAGAATATTTAATATTTTGACGTCACAATATTTTAGATTACAAATCCAGTTATATTTTTGTAACTTTTGACTAAGTTAAACTAGTTTTAGTGTTCAAAGTTTTTGATCACGTTTATTTTATCAAGTTAAAATACTTACAATATTTTTTTTGTTTGATATAATTAGTTCAATTAAAAAACCCCGATTATAAAATTTGGACGTCTATGAAGTCATGCTTCCTATTTTACGGTTTCTTATCATTTTTATTAAGTTTCTGGAGCATTATTCATCTTGTTTTAATATTTGAATAGTGTGATGATTTATTTATAAAAATTGGATCAAACACATATGAAATTATAAATATAATAATAAATAATTAATATGTTCTAATTGGATATCAAATCATTCGTATTCAATATGACTGGTTACTATCTATTTTTGAATTATTAAGTATAAAGTTTGGCTAGACAATGATTGAGAGAGAAATATACTACCTATTTTTAAAAATATTGTTAACTTATGTCGATTTGTTGAATATTATTGTATCATTCATGGATTTATTTAAACAGACTACTATGTAATGGAATTCTAAGTAATATTTCACCTTCTATAGGCATTTTCTTATTAATGGTTCTCAAATATATATTACCTTTTGAAGCATTTTATTTAGTGTATTCAAAGATTTATAGTATAAACAGTCAAAGATTGTATACATATTATTCGATTTGTTGCCAAAAGACGATCACATTCTAGTTCATTTTCCACCAAATTTGGTATATTTGAATATGAGTACTTATTGTAAATATACATTACTTAGATTTCAAAATTTGCTTATATAAGGAGCTCTAAATCTCTAGAACAACTCCTAAAACATTCAAACAAAAAAGATTCACAAGATATTAGTAATATCACTGAAATACATTTTTTAAAAAACAAGAAATGGATGTTCGAAGATCTTCATACATTTTCATTGCAGTTTCTATCATTGCAATGTTCTTGATCACAGGTAAGTCAATGTTACAAAATATCAGGATATGAAATATATACAATTATTCAAAGTTCAAGTTTCAAATTTGGAAGAAAATAATGAATGTTCTTTCACTATTTCTCTTCCCACAAAAAAAAAAGTCATTCTTGCTCATTTTTAGGATCATACATTTTTTTTTTATTAGTTTCAACACATATATGATAACGTATGTTGGTTTTGGTTTTGGTTTTGGTTTATGATGAACATAAAATATATACAGGAGTAAGATCACAACCGATAAGAGATATTTGCCCAGGGGTCTGCCATGCTGGAATTGAACCAGACTGCGACACACTCTGCACTAGCTTAGGCTTTACTGGAGGATATTGTCAAGGATTAACATGTTGTTGCAACCCAAAATCCTCCAAATCCTCAATTACTCCTCCAATTTAAATTTTGTTTTGTATTACTCTTTTATCTTTTCAAAGTTATAAAGCCCTAAACTTTGATATGGAACAACGAATATTCAACAGATTGTTTATCTCTTATATTTTTTTTGGTACTTTTGGTAATAAAAGTGGCGTCTTTCCCCATCCCACCGGAGTTCAACTCCACTAAATCGCGTTACCACGCGTAATAGGGAGTGACTATGGATCGGGTTTTGTCGATCTAAAGATGTCAAAAAAAAAAGTGGTGTCTTTCTCCATAGAAACGGCCATTTAAAAAAAAATCCAATTGCGTCTATAAAATTAGGAGTTTCAATATTTTTTAAGTTTCGTTGCATGATTTTAGAAATTAAAAACACAAATTTTAGAAGATACGTGCATCTTTCCCATAACTGAAATTATTTCAAAAATCATGATCCCATGAATATGAATCTAATTTTCTTTGTAACGTTAAATTCTATAACTTCTGAACGTTTTATTCGTGGCTCATTTATGTAGGAATATATTAATTAAGATACATTTTTTGTTCATATTTTTTATACATAATGTTAATTATTTTATAGTTAACTAACAATATGTATAAAAATCGGTGCATTTAACCTCCACGACCCATAGACGACGGAAACTCTAAAGCTCCTCTTTCCTGCGAGCTAATGATATTGAGGTGCGGGTTTTGAACCACTTGGCGGTGTTTTTATTTCCACTGTTGGATAAATCGACGTTAATTAGCCCTATAAAAAGAAAAAAAATATGAAAATCTGATGGTGAATATTGTTACTACTTACAAAGTTTGCGGATTTGGTATGGCCAAGTTGAAGATGCACAAGATGAAATCGCGAAAGAGAGAACCAAAAACAAAGCAATCAACCACAAGCTTCCTTTCATTTTCTTTTTCGATCTTAATTTGTGTTGTTGGAGTAGGTTACAAAGTTCTATGCATGTACATGTGTATTTATATCAATTCAAATTTTATACGTGAGGTTTAGAATACTAAGAAAACCATATAGTCTGACCAAGTATACTAAGAAAAGGTCTTCGACGTAGACAAATATGGGAAATCTTCTTCGTTGATCATTTCTATCAAAGACTTTATATTATATATACATCAAAAATTGAGATGACTTTGACTTTGAGTCATCTAAAAAGAAAAAAAAGAAAAAAACTAAAGGACTAGGTGTCTAGGTCGTTCTTATGAGTATACTGACTCGTTCTGTTCAAATAAATGAGCTCATCCACACACATTTATGAATTAAATATATATATTTTAATTATATTACGTAGTTTAAAAACTCTAATATTGCAACTTTTAATTTTCTTGTATCGCCTAATTAGCTAATGGTTGAAAATGTAGTCAAGTCTATACGACACCAAAATTTATGTTTTGTCGAAACCCTACTCTCAGTGCCGGCTCATTTGGAAGGTCGAGCGGTGCGACAGTTAGGAGCCACATCCCGTGCTCTAATAATCGCGGGGGACATTTTTAAAATATTTAAAAAATAAATAAATAAATTAGATTATAAATTAAATATAATATCAAAAAGGCCCAAAAATAGTTTATAATAAAAAATTTCTTTTATCGAAATACACAAAACGAAAGTTTTTATGAAGCGAGGTTTTTAATATGTTAGACACAATTAGGCATTCGATACATGAAGCGAAGATCGGTCCAAAAAGCCCAAAAAGGGTTAGTTACTAGACCAAATACCGCAAGCGTTCGTTAAGTATATCTTTTCTGTCAAAATAAGCTATTCTTACAATTGCCCCCAAACTTTTCTTCGGTGAAAACTATCTCTATCTTTTCTTCTTCAATCAATATATGTTAATCTTGGAGGTTATGCCTAATACAACAATTGAAAAACTTTTAATTTGCAGAAGATATCCAGACACATTTGTGAATCAACAACCACTAAAGTCCGCTGAAAGCTAAATATTTTTCATTAGAAGTCTTAAAGTAAAAAGACCCTATCACTCAAACTTATAGATCGAAGCCGGGATTGAGTCTGCTATATGTGGTCAGTTATATATAACTTATAATGTTTTTGTTTTTCCTTTTTCATAGCTAGGCTGACTAAAATTCCTGAGTTAGCCCTATATTATGAGAAAGTGGCTAATGATAGTCTGATTCTATACCAATATTAAGTCTGGTAATAATCCAAGAACCTGCCTCACAGAGAATCAGAAGCGCCATTAATACACCAGAGGTTTTGCTGGAAGAGTTCAATGATCAAGCCACAGAACACACCTTGTCTGTAAAACAGTAAAAGTAAATATTGGTACTCAGATTTAGCCAGATGCATATATTTAGACAACTCATATTAAAGATATGAAACCTTGTCTGATGCTGCTGCAACAAAGGCGATTGTCGTCTATATAAGTTGCCTGAACACCAATCATCCAAGATCCTATGGAGGTATCATCAAAAGCATATGTCTTCAATGATCCACTGCATTTATATATACCAGACAAGAGAATATGTGATGAGTGTTAACCGGATATGGAACCATGCCATTGACATACTTTTCAATATCAAGTTAGTCAGAATATGAGCCCAACCTGTTTATGTTTACATACTGAGCCAAATTTTTGGATAGTATTAACAGCGAACCAGCTGCATGACGGAAGTACCTAAATATAATGAAGAAATAATATGAGTTACAGCTTAATTGTTTAAAGGTTCCAATCATGTGAAGAAAACATAAATTTCAACCACTGAGCTTAATAAAGAAGATTTTGATTTCACCGAAGACCCTTTAAGTATATAACATTTGCTATCACTTACGATTTTTCGTCCCCAAATTTCCACCATTCTGGCTCATACCATTGCCCTCCCCTGAAACACAAAGACCCATGTAGATGGAAATTTATTAGTTTGCATATACTGTCAAAGACATACAAATTTACGATAGTGGAGTATGATACGAACTCTTCAGCAACCACTTCACCAGACTTCATACACCCAATGTAAGCAGCATCTTGACCACGCCGGCTTTCAAGAAGGCCAATCAACCCCTCTATCAGTTTGAAATCACACAAATAGAATCCTTGATGTGAGATTGGACCCAAGATCATTTAGCATGAATTGCTGATGCAGGGTAGGACCAAACATAACTTCACAGATAGGAAATAAAGAGGAAGTATTTACCAAGATCTAGGTCAATATTGTCATCAACTTTGATGTAAAACTGTGCATCCCAGTTTTGAACAGCAGCACTAAAGAAGAACTTCACTTTCTTGGGTAGCTCTTCTTGGGCCTCCTCGTGATTCTCCTAATAAAGCAATAGTGCCAGAAGAAAATTAGAAGCCACATCAATGAGCAAAAACAGTGTGTGCAAAACTAAACAGAAGAAGCAAATATCAAGCAGGCTACTAAAAGATGCTAAAGATTTTGATATTGTATACTTACAAGAATCAAAAAATCTTTTCTTGCTTGATTTTCCTCGTCGATTTTTCGATCTAAGCTATCACCTCGATTTGGACTGGAATTCTCAAAACATCAGTATTATAGTCCATATGATGATGCATAAAAATAATAAAACATATAGAGTTAGTGGAAAAACCTTCGACCAATCACAAAACGTATGACAATGCCTCTTTCCTCAAGTTTCCTCAAAGCATCACCTTTAGAACACAAAGTTAGTAACCATACCAAATGGTAACATGACAAAAAAAAAAACACGGTTTCGATGATCAATCACAGCATGATCTACCTTGTGGCATCCAAGACCCTCTAAATGTATTACGCCTCAGATAACTTCCAAAACCTGTATACACTCCAATCACAGCAAGCAATTTCTTCCCTGAAGAAGAACTACTCTTCTGGTTTTTCAGATAGCCTTGACTCTTTGCAAGAGTCAATTCCATTTCAGTTTCAACAATTCTCCTCTCAAGATCTCTAATAACAATAAGTACACAATCTGTTATTACAAGCACACAACATAACCACATTACCACATTGCAGAATCACCACAAAACCAACTTACTTGCATCCTAGGACCATTAGCTTGTCATCAACCGTAAGAACCTTAGGCTTCTACACCTCCCAAGAACATTATCAAATTAATACAAATTACTCTCTTTAAAAAGAAACAAACAACATTTCAAGATTGCAAAAAGAAAAGGCCAAACCTGATGATAACTCTTGTTAAGAATATTATTGAGTACCACTCTATTCTCTGAATCTTGCCATAACCTAATCACAAGAAACCAGTACCAAACTAAGATTATCTTGAAAAACAAATTTCATAAGTTCCATAAGCATCATGGATTGAATTTGAACCCGTGATTGTTCAATACTAAGCCAAAAACTCAGAAATTGAATTGGGAGAAACAAAGCAATTCAAAACAAATCGATACCACATCTTTGAAAATCGAATTCTAGAGTCATTGGAGATACGATTATCAATCGAATCAACGAACAGTGGAAAAAAAAAAGAAGCGAACGTACCTGCCAGCGACATAGAGCCAAGCGACGCAAGAGAAGAAAGCCATTATAACTGAGGGTTTAGAGGAACTCTGAGAAAACTTGGAGGACCGAGCTCGTCGTTCTGATTTGGACGGAACCGTCGTGGGTAAGGTCTCCATCTCAATCCACGATCAGAGGAATGAGATAAGAGAGAGAGAGAGATTCAAAATCTGAGAATGAGAGCAACAAATTGGAAGAGAATCGGTTTCTGTGTTGTTGTTGCTTTGCTTCAGAGATCGGTTACTATGGCAAGTTCATAGACTCGTAGTCATAGGAGGAATTGAAATTTCTGGCAAAAATATTTGTCTATTAAAAGACTCACTGGTTAGGCCAGAGGGTTAGGTTTTGGTCAGTTATTGTGTAGCTTAGCTAGTTTGGCCAAACAAAACCTTATGTTGACTAAACCATTTTATTCCATAAAATAAGTCAACTTACCAGTTTCGATTCATAGACTCATTAGTAGGAGGAGGATTGAAATTGAGTAAATTAAATGATAGACAACTTTTTTGGGTTCAATTAGTTAAACCTATTTTCACATAACACACTTTTTTGAGATGTGTTTTTTACGATTTGGCAAAGTCAAAATTCTTTTTTTTGATAGAATAGCCATATTGTTTTAATTAATTTTTTATATTTAGTGTTCAAAACTTCAAATCATCCGGTTCTCTACCTAAATAAATTAATTTAAATCCCCTATTTCGCCTTAGTAAATGAGAGAAAAATCTCTACCACTTGGGTTCGAGTAAGTATTAGCCACCGAAGTTCGAATTCTATCATGATTTTTCCGGACCCCGCAAGTTTAGTCTTTAGGCCTAGAATAAAAGACGGGCTGCCAGCTGTTGTAGCACGAAGTTTCATTGTTGTACTGTCACAGACCTAAAGAAGAGGAAGAGAAATGGAAATTACCTTGAAAGAGAAGGAAATTATGCATTGGTCTCCTATTAATACAGGTAGCAAAAACGTTTTACTATTCATCAAAGCTTTTGGTTAAGGTTTACAAATGTTCTAAAAACAGTTTTTGGTTTTTTTTTTCTTTAATTCTTTATTGACTAAATGGTTATTTTAGTGCCAAGTAACTCCATTAAGCTTGTGAGCTTAAGGTGTTTCTAATAAAGAAGATTTTTTTCCATATTCTCGGGAATATTAATTGGTATCAGAACATGTTCCTAACATCAAAACTCTAGTTCATTCTCAGGAAGATCCATACGAGAAGATGGAAACACAACTAGTTGATGCAAAAGAAAATCATGCAGAAATGATGGCTAATATTAGAAGAAGTATTGATGAGTATACATGGACTGATCAGAGCCTCCTAACCAAATACTGGTGTATTGATTTGAAACCAAAATCAGAATGGACAGACGAAGAAAAAATGATCACACACAAGCTCTCGTTACACGTTTACGAAATCTCAATTTCAATCCATTCGATGTTTAATTATAAAACTACGGATTCAAAGAGTTAAGAATGTAGGAGCAAAAAATCGCAACACTATGGAAATGTAATTGAAACTAGAAATCATAAACGTTAGGGAAAGAGATCGAATTGAAGCCAGACTATAATCTCTTTCCTTAACTCTTTGAATCACCCGCAATTCACTGAGATTCAAGAGTCCCAAGATACAACAACGTACAACTAGTATATGTTTATATACTTTTTAATATTCCAATTGAAAAATGCGTTTTAATATTAAATTAAATCCTTATATATAAGCTTTTTATTTGAATGGAGTATTTAATTTTGGTTAGTTAGTTATATATTTGGCAATTAGTTTTTGAATAATAAAAATAAATAGTATATGAAATTCAAAGTGTTTAGTAAGAAAGATAATAGAGTCAAAATATTTGGAAAGAACAATAGTAGGATTAAATAAATAAAATTTTAAAAGATGTGAGAATAATTGTGCGCTTGACATATAAACACAAATAGTTTTCTTATAATGTAAAGAAGATCATAATTCGACGAACATAGCCTTTAACAAAAAAAAAAAATTACCGTCTAATTCTTATCATCAAAGCACAATCACACATATAAATACATGACCCTTGTTGGAACTGGCAGTATGAGATTACGTTTCTTTCACATAGAAAACCATACTGTTCAACAAAAATTATCAAAAATGTGCATAATGTCACTATATGAACGTAACTAATAAGATAGTCGCCTATGAACTAATCAAACACATTAAACAACAAAACTATTTCTTAGCAAAAAGGAAAAAAAATCAAATTGAAAATGTAATTAAATAATATGATAGTCATCAAATCTCAGAAGAACATATCATAACTAATAATACTAAAAACTATGTTACATATCATATTTAATTACATATCATATTATAACTAATAATAATCATATTATTTAGTATCATATAACTGTAATAATAAATATCATATTTAAAAATATGTATTAAGATTGATCCTACTAAAAACTATTAAAAATATTATACGGCAATTTTTCATTTCCATACTATTAAACATATGCGTTTGTATATAATTAAATTGTAAGAATATTAAGTTATCAACAATAACAGAATCGCATTTATGTATATATATGGTCTTCCCTAGGGGTGTCAAAATGGGTCAAGATTTATCTTCCCATTGGAAAATAAAACTCTTTATTATAGTTAAATGAAAACAAACAAAAGCATACAAGACCAAAGAGCAAGAAGAATTCTATATTTCATTTACCCACAACAACAACGATATGTAGAAGTTCTCGGAGGAAATCCTTTGAATAGAATGCAAACACCATGTTTATAAGATAAGCCTGCACAATATTTATAGCAGTCTTGTTTCAAGAATTTCCCAGTACAATCTGGTCCACAAGTCGGAGGTAAAGCTTGTACGCTAATTCCCATTTCGACTATGTAATCATGAAAAAAAAAAAATCTTTTAGAGGAGGATACAAAACTGGTTATCTTATAGTCAAATATATATTTCTAATAACATATACCAGAGAGAATGTCACATGAAATGGCCAACAGAGCAACAACAATGCATGTAATCATCAATTTGGAGGAACCCATTTTAACAAACCAATATTGTATATTTCTAAGATTTGGTTTGATGTAAACTAATTGATTATGAAACTAGTGATTGACCCGCGGTACACCGCGGGACGATATTTTTTAAAAAAATTTAAATTTTAAGTTGTATTTGTTTTGTTAATATTGTGTTTTTTGTTTAGTGTTTAAGATTGTATAATTGTATTTTGATTGTTAATTTTAGCATTTCACCCGTGGTATACCGTCCCGCATTAATATCGATCCAAACCCGTTTCACCATATAATCCGTCCCGTGAAATTAAACATCATTTTGTTATTTTTCATTTTAAGAATACTTTTATTTAAAAGACATATAATTCGAGTCAATTTAAAAGTTTGTTTTTTAATGGTTCTATAATATATATATATATATATATTTTAATTTTGATAGAATTCAAATATTATTAATATTATCAGCTTTTCATAGAATTTAAAAATTATAAATACTATCTTACAACAATATCATAAGTTTATAGAACTATCTTATATAGATACCACATATAAAAAAATCATAACCATAAATACTACTAAATCTCTTTGCAAACTTAACTAAAATAGAATCAAATCAATGAATTCGAATTTTTTAGCAATATACTGCAAATACGAATTTGAATAGTAGTTATTAGTTTCTATAAAATCAAAACAAATATATTTATGTCAATATTAGTTTCTAGTTTTTTAAATTAGAATAATTTATTGAATAACAACCCAACCGTAAAACATAATTTGAAAAAACATAATTTAGTTGAATAACAATAAATTAACTCACTAAACATTCTTAATTTTGATAGATAATTATTAAGGTTAATTTCTTTCCATATGCACACTTACGAATTAATGCTAATTCTCCTAATATTTTTTACTAACATAATATTTTTGATTAAAAATATCTAAAATTAATAACTATATAGAATATGCTATAGTAAATAAGAATAAAATCGTTTAGTTGAGAATCATTTCCAATATAATAAAATATGCTAATCCAAAATTGACCTTTCAATTTTAATTTTAATTTGAGACGTGGAGAAGTTGGCAGATTTCATAGAGTGTGAGCCCCGGAAGGATTATTCCGATTGGCTAAAAGGGAGAGAACGGTTTCGTAGTCAAAAGTGGAAGTCGGAGAAGATTGCCCTCCAAAGGTGGAATAAGAAGCAAAAAGCTTGGAGAGTGAACAAAAGAAAGAATGTTTAAAAGCTGACTAAGTGAGTGAATATAATCTTTCGGGTAGTCTAAAGAGTTGCTCACACTGATTTGCATTCAGTGCATCTTGGATTAGTCAAAAGTTCGAAGCGTTCAGTGCGTTTGAAACGCATATAATTAAACTTTACGGAGGCTGCATAAATTCATCTAACAGAACTTGTCTCACAGTTTTTTTTAGCTTCACAATTCAAAGAAAAACAAACATTCGAGGACTTAGTTCGCAATCTTAATTTGGTAATTGCAATTGCAAAAAGCAAAAATATCCAACAGTTAACCCGAACAGAACCAAAGTAGATTTACTGTGAATGAGACCTAGACATGTCAATTAGGGCCAAAGCCCGCGGGCTAGCCCGGCCCAGCCCTGAAAAACAGCGGGCTCGGGCTTCAAAATATATGTCCATAAAAAATCGGGCCTTTTGGGCTAAGCCCGTTCGGGCTAAAGGGTTTTTTGGGCTTAGCCCGGCCGGGCTCGGGCTAGCCCGAAAAGCCCTTTTAAAAATATTTTGACCTTTTTTTTGTTAATATTTTTGTTTAATTGTAAGATTTGTTGTAAAAAATTTTTTTGATAGAGTTGAAAACCCTAAACTTAGGTTTTTTGTTGTGTATTACTATAAATCGAAAAAGCAAATATTAGTTCTACTACCTAATTTGAATTATTTTGATGTTATATTTTATCTAGTATAAGTTTAAACAATTTATTTGGATTATTTATTTGATTTTAACTCTCTTTTTTAAAAACTAAATTAGCGTTAGTGGTTATTTAAATTTTGATTGACTTGTTTCATATAGATTCTTTTTTAAGAGATATTATAAATTATAAGTTTGTTTTTTTGTTGTCGGGAAAAAGCCCAAAAAAGCCCGGAAAAGCCCTGTAGCCCTGTTAGGGCCGGGCCGGGCTTTAAAATATAGGCTCGGAATTTTTACGGGCCGGGCCGGGCCGGGCTCAAATATGTACGGGTTTTGCGGGCTTCGGGCCGGGCCGGGCCGGGCTAGCCCGATTGACATGCCTAATGAGACCAAAGCATTTAAAGACGATAGCTAAGTCGCAAGGCCATTAGAGCCATTGTAGCATCGCGATTATAGGCCCCATCCCCACGCCGTATACCCGTGGTGGCATACGACACGAGTCGTCCAAGCCAACATTGGACACAGTGACCACTGATATGCAAATGTCTCCGTCTCAGACAAAACTGTGATGTATAATCTCAATCAACCATTCAACTGTAAGGAGAAGATGCACTTGTGGGTGTTACTCATAATAATTATGCATTGCAAATAGAAATCCTTCAGTAGAGATTTTAAACATAGACCCCACTCCGTTCTAGTCCAAAGAGTCGAAGACATAAACACAAGCAAAGACACACAACATCCGTGCATAGATAATAAACACTAACATGATAAAAAGTTTCCAATAGATAGCAGCTGATAGATTATATAGCAGACAAGATCCTCATGTCTCTCTGTCTTCTATTTGTTCCTTAGTGACAGCAACTTCAAGGCTCATGTGCCCTGGTTTCCCATCCATGGTTTTCCTTATTATAGCGTCGTGCTCACCAGCCCAGGGTGTTGAAGGATCAGCAATACACTTGTAACTTATGTAGAAGATTGCATTATCTGCCTTGAGCTTCTCACGAGCCTCTGTTGTGTATTCTTCTAAAGTTTCTACAACAACCTTCTTGATCTCCAAGGGTTTGCAAGCGCTTACACCCTGCAATTACGCTTGTGGCAAGCGTAAAGAGGGGAAGAGACAAACAAGTTTCACTTGCTTTTATTTTTTTTGGGAGAGAACAAGAATTGCGACATTCAAGAACTTACACTCTCTGTTTTGGAGTAGAAGGCGACTTCCATGAGCAGTTGCAGCCAGTCATTCTCATGCAGCTCTGATTCTTGCACCTGCGAATGATGATGATCCACAGAAATTTATTAAAACTAGAACAAAAATTCAAAAACTCCAATGTGGACATGAAGGATGTTTCTTATTACCACGTAAAACTTTTTATCGTCACGGACCAAGGCCTCATCAGAAAACCATTTGGGCATCGGACCTTTGTAGGAATCATCTATTGCAGCCATGTCCCAAACTTCATCCACACTCTCGGTACCATCTAAAAAGTGATGTTTATAAACAGTTAGTCCTCTTTTGACAAATTCATCTCCAAAAACAGTAAGTCCCGAATAAAAACTGTTATGCTTATGGAGGTAATATAGATTCTTACGTGTTGCTTTGATTCTGGCGGCTAAGCTCGCCAACGTAAGACCGATACCCCAAGTAAGATTCTTATAATCATTGCCTAACATGGTCTGAAAAGAGAAGACCGAGCTGCTGGTCGGATCCGTTGCCTCGAAAGTTATGTAGTAGTCCTCGTATCTAGTCGAGTGAGTACCACACTTTTCCAAGCGTTTAAACTTATAGTTTGTTCCCTGTCAAAAACGTAAAAACTTATAATTTCTTTTTGACAAAAGACAGAGAGAGAGAGAATAGTGATGATGATGAGAGTTACCTTCTGCAAATTGTGACAGTGGAGTCCAATCCTAGCAAAAAGGGCGATTTCATAATTATATTCCCAAGTAGACTGAATTTCTTCATAAGAACACCAATCCTTATCAAACCCCTAACAAAATTAAACGACGCAGTTAGACTTTGGTCAGAACGGTAAGGCGCTTGTTCCGTGAGACTCTATACCCCTACGACAATCAGATCATCCAAAATCAAAATCACTACAAAACTATAAAGCTAGGAGGAATTTCGGAGAAAATTTACTAGGGCCAATCCGCAACTTCTCAAGGAGCCCCAGCTTCGTTGCTGGTTTTCGGAAGTTTCAAGCTTTCGCTTTCGATTATTTTTGATTCTCTCTTGCACTGAAGATGCTTTTGTAATCCCGAGTTCACTTGATTCTTTTTCCGCCATACCCTGCAAGTAGCCAAACCCTTCAAGTCTCTCAAATCTCAATCTCTGATCTCCCGACAATAACTTGGTTGCTTTGGGGTAGGCTGGGTATTCGGGCTATCCATTCGGGTTCGGGGTCTACTAGAATTTGGGGTATGGCGGAAAATAAAACCTAATAGAATTTATAAGGTTTCTAAGCCTCTTGTAAAAGTTATTGTAAAGTTTTATAAGGCTATTATATGGTTTTTCTATGGTTTTCGTATGGTTTATTACCTTTTATAATGCTTTTATAAAGCTTTTATATTGTTTTTACAAGGTTTTTATATGGTTTTTACAAGGTTTAATACTTTTATAATGCTTTTATATGGTTTTTATATTGTCTTTGTATGGTTTATTACCTTTTATAATGCTTTTATAAAGCTTTTATATTGTTTTTACAAGGTTTTTATATAGTTTTTATATGGTTTAATATCTTTTACAAGAATAATTCTCAGATTCTCGAAAATACTAATTTTACAAAAGGTACTTCAGTTTTAATAATATAGATAGATATCAATTTTAATACCACGGGATAATTTTTTTTAGTCAATCCTAAATAAATCAATTTGTTTTAATATATTTATTATTATATTATGATGTGAAGAAAATAATAAAAAGAATAATAATTCGTGTAACGTTTGATTAATGATATTGTATATTTATATTAATATCGATCCAAACCCATCCCGTCATATAACCCCGTAATATTTTAAACTTTTTATCAGTTTAAATATTCATAATATTTTAAATTTTGATAATATGATGTTTCAAAAACGTTTTTAGAAAATCAAATAAAGATAATAGGATAATCATAATTTTAAATCTTGACAAAATCTTTTAAATATCTTCAATATTAACTATAATGTCATTCATTGTAAATAAGTCTCAACTTCAAACATACTCCACGAAAGGTACTTCAATTTTAATAATATAGATATAGATATCAATTTTAATACCGCGGGATAATTTTTTTAGTCAATGTTAAATAAATCAATTTTTTTAGTCAATGTTAAATAAATCAATTTTTTTAGTCAACTTCAAACCTATTCTACAAAAGGTACTTCAATTTTAATAATATAGATATAGGATGATTTTAGGAGATTGTTAGAAAAAAATGGTTTTTTTTTTGTCAACATTTGGACCTATAAATTGTAGGGAGCGGGACTCGGTCTGGTGTGATGGTGTCTGTCTTCAGTGGACTTTTCATTTGACACTAGACCTCAGTCATTTCACAAGAAAAAATTGATTTAAAAACAAAATATTGAAAACATACACGTACACCCCTTTTCTTTTTGGTTACCAAAAATAATTTTGATATATAATATCCCACTGATAATTGAATGATTCCAAACCGATTCAAACCGGAAAACCTAATTTTTTTTTCAAAATACCTGAGTCGGGACCGATCGATCCCTGGTGCAGATCGATCGATCCCGAGGTTTCTGTTCCTCGGTGCATTTCCAGGCGAGACCGATCGATCCAGGGTGTAGATCCATCGGTCCTAAGTGTTCGATTACCAAAATTTCGCATCTTAATGCGATTTAAACCTATTCCTGAAACATTTAGGCATTCTCATTGATTCACTAATAAAAATCCTCAAAATATAAATAGTCTAACTTTAGAAATCAGAAGAAACAAAATCAAAAGCTAAAGCTCAAAAGACATAATAGTTAGTACAAACATCGGGTTGCCTCCCGGAAGCGCTTGTTTTAAGTCTCGAGCTTGACTCTCTTTCTCCTATGCTTGTGAACGAGTCTTTGGACCACCTACACGTCCTCCTGAGATGTCCACGTTGTGATCTTCCTCCATGAGACGAACGGGTCTAACAAAGTTTCCTCTCCTAGTGGCATGATAGAATACGTCCTTGTCGACGTTGGCGAAACACACTCGGCGATTTGGAGCATCCATAACAGCTCCAACAGTAGTCAAGAAGGCTCTCCCAAAGATGACTTGTTGGCGTTTTCCGGGCACATCTACGACTTGGAAATCCGTAGGAACATCTACATTCCCAATTCGCACCATCTCATCATGTAGCTCGCCTCTTGGTTGAATAACAATAAATTAACTCACTAAACATTCTTAATTTTGATAGATAATTATTAAGGTTAATTTCTTTCCATATGCACAATTACGAATTAATGCTAATTCTCCTAATATTTTTTACTAACATAATATTTTTGATTAAAAATATCTAAAATTAATAACTATATAGAATATGCTATAGTAAATAAGAATAAAATCGTTTAGTTGAGAATCATTTCCAATTTAGTAGTTGTGATTGAATGTGGATTTTATATGGTTTATTTGATTTAGGAAACAAATATCCGGAAAATGTGTGATTTTACCAGATTTTGATAGATAATTATTAAAGTTAATTTCTTTCCATATGCACAATTACGAATTAATGCTAATTCTCCTAATATTTTTTACTAACATAATATTTTTGATTAAAAATATCTAAAATTAATAACTATATAGAATATGCTATAGGAAATAAGAATAAAATTATAATTTTATTTTGATTATTAATTTTATGATTTCACCCGTAGTATACATTCCGTATTAATTTGAACCCAAACCCGTCCCACCATATACTCCGTCCCGTGCAATTAAACATCATTTTGTTATTATTTTTTTTATTAATATTTTTATTTAAAAGATATATAATTCAAGTTAGTTCAAAAGTTTACTTTAAATGGTCTCCATATTATATATATTTTTAATTTTTATAGAGTTCAAATATTACTAATATTATTAACTTTTTATAAAATTTAAATATTATAACTACTTTAAACTATTTTTTTGTAAGGATATAGACCGTAGTATTGAAATAGGCCAATGCACATTTATATTCTTTAGAACGTGAAGGCCTACAGTTGGTTCACAAATTTACAAATCACAAATTATACCGATTTAGTCAACAAAATCACGTAAACCACACAAGAAACCAATTTGGTCAACATCAACCATTTCCTTTCTCCTCCAATAATTTTGACTCATCAGAGAATCAATATATAATTTGGTCTTCTTCTCATGGGCCAGTCTCTGTCTCTCTCTCTCTTGCAGATTCGACTGGAGCACGTACAAAACTAAATAAATGAAAGGAAAACACAACTGAAAAAAAACAAAACATTAGAGAAGAACATGTTTTCTAATCGAACGAATCTCTCTGAGACAATAACATCGTCGTTACCATTAAGTACATAATTAAACAATTAATTATTTAAACTATATATAAAAAAAAGATTCTATCTTCAGAGTTCTGCGTAACTGTGACCATTACATACTACAGTTAGCTTTCTTCTCTAGCCGTCGAGTTTCACGCGCCGCCGTGAGAAAAATGCAGCACGGACCGAAGCAACCGCGAGTCACTCTTTACATAATACCCACCACCGCGTTTCTCTCTCTTTGTTTCCTCCTATCTCTCTCTTCCTCTTCCCACTCTTCATCATCATACACCGGTCGACCCGAAGATCTACGACCCGACCCGAGACTCTTTCCCTCTTCCTCCAAAATCGCCGCTGATACAACTCCTCCTTCAATCGCTTACCTAATCTCTGGATCTTCGGGTGACTCGAGAAAAATCCTTCGTCTTCTCTACGCTACTTACCATCCTCGGAATCGATATCTTCTCCATCTCGATAGCACAACTAAATAAATGAAAGGAAAACACAACTGAAAAAACAAAACATTAGAGAAGAACATGATTTCAACTACTCCGGAGAAAATAAAAAAAAAACCAGCGAGAGAAAAGGCGAATCACGATTAGATTCAAAATCCTCCCACCGTTTCTAATCCCGACGATAACAACGACGGCAATTTATGGAAACGTACTATTGTCAAAAATTTCGATCCGTCTAAGTCTAAGTTAAGACATATTAAGGTTCGGCAATGAAAGCACTTACCTATGGAGAAGAAAGTAGATTTTTGTTTGTGTTTAGAGATTGGAGAAATGAGCTGAGTATTTATAGCGTTTTGATAGTTAGTAGGTTTTAGGTTAGAGAATATTTAAAAATTAAAATCTTGATGAGCAAAAATTTGATATCTTTGGAAATCTAAAATCATCACAAAAATAAAGAATATGTTACATAGATGCTTGATCAAATAAGGATAAAATCGTTTGAGATTGATATCGAATTAATATAGTTCAATTTTTTTAGGAAACAAATATTAACTACAATAAAATCTCTAGCATTAAAATAGGAAACTATTTGCTTTGTAAATATATGTTTGTTATGTAAATATATACGATTTATGTATTTACTAAATCAATCATTTAATTTTGATTTATATAATGCTAATTTAGATTTGATTTCGATTTTATTGTTTTAGTAGTTTCCATTTGCTAGATATTCTCGATATTATGTTTAATAGCATTTAAAAATAAATATTTGATTTCCATATATTTGAAATTCAAATCTCGTAAACAAAAAATTAGGAATGTTTAGTGAGTTAATTTATTGATTTGTAAATTTGATTAAGACATATATTTTCTCAGATTTTATTTGTAGGGACTAAATGTACAATATTGAAATTGTAAAAGGATTTTTGAGGCCAAATCTTCACCAAAAATGTATATATAGATTATACAAAACAAAAAGTAATGATTAATTAAGAGACACAAATATCCTCCAACTTTGAAAAAGAATTATGAAAAATAGTTATAAGTAAAAATATACCAAATGAAGAGTTATGTTGAAAAGATGTGATCATCCAAATTATTTTATGATATTATTAAAATATTATATGTGAACATGTATAAACTTTTTCTGTATCGATGAAACATGATGTATTGATGTTACACCCGATTAGAAAGACACCACACGAGGTCTTCTTGTTCCAGGGATAATCTTTTTGACTTTGTCCTCATTAGATAAAGCTTTCAAGCACAAGCATCGATTTACTATGTATGGCAGAGAGAAATGGATGGTATCACCAACGTGGTCATTACACTATCACCCAGCTTGCACACTTCATTGACTAGGCTGTAAACACTGCATCATGTTGATGCAACACTCAACCGATTCAAAGCACAGTAGGCTATCATTACAATGATGTATAGAACAACAGCGTTAATGGCTTCATGGCTATGTTTTTGTCTTTGCTCTGTTTTGAGATTTTGCTTTAAACAACAAGGTTTTGGTGTGTTAGTTTTCTTTATAAATACTCATTTTTGTTGATAAATAAATTTAACATTTAAAAAGCCAGAAAAAAACATGATGTTACTTATCATAAGCAGAATCGTGTACAAATCATAAGATGACTTTTTTCTGGTTTTAGACACAAGTTGATTTTACATATCAGATACAAGAAGAGCTTTAATAAATCATCACTTGCAGATGAACAACCAAACTCACTCAGGTCACTAAGAAATTTCTCTCCGTTCCTTTTGTGATACATTGAGTTAACCGAAGAACTCTTAGCGGCTAGCCCCAGCGCCTGGTAACAAGCTCGTGAGCGAAGGCACGCCTTGTCTCCTCATTTCCTCTTGTGCTTGCTTCATCTCCTCTGGATCTGTTTATGAAAACATTTTAGGTTAACGATGACTAACTCTTCTTAACTTGCAATTCACCAACCAGTTCAAGAGCTATAAAAGCTCCTAGATCGGTAAAAAGTGATAAAGAACATCAGATGTCGATCATATCCATAGTCGTATTGTTTACAAGCAAAATCGGAAGAATAATGTGTTGGCACATCGTGAACTGCTACATATGTGGTTGCAAAATATTCGTATACAAGTTGAGGGTAATAGAAGCGTACCTATGTTTTCCATTAATTTGGGCATTAGGAACACAACAACAACCATGAATCCCACCATGAGACCCATCGGACTTTTCACGATCGACAAAATGTTGAAAGGCTCTCGAATCTGTAGTATTTTTACATGACCAAATCAGATAAAAATAAGAAATAAACAGAATCAAGAAGTACAGGCAAAACCAATAATGAAAAGAGTCATGTGAAATCTCACCTCATAGTATTGCTCTTCCCTCAATGGCTCCAAAACCAGCTCAGTAAGACTCCTCCTGGTTTCTGTTAGTGTTGCTTGAACCTTGCCACGATGCCGAGCACTAACATCTATTCGTACCTAAATTTGATTATCCGCATGAGAAACACGTTCTTACAAAAATGAAGTTCTGGAAACCATTAATAGCAACACAATAAAAACTTACCGGAGAAAAGAAGTAGCCCATTGCAGATACTTCAATCAAATGAGTTCCAGCAGGCACTTGGTGACTTTACAAACCAGTTAGTCAAGGACCGCAAAAATTAAGAATCATATCCATTACTCGTCTTTTCGTGTTATATTACTAGCAATATTTACACACAAAACAAGCCAATACTGAACAAACAAGATTTCTTTTGGCATATATCAAAGGCCTGAGAAACCAATCATCAGATACTAAAGAAAATTTTATAACTGAAGGATCAAAAGGATACAAAGTAAAGTATCCATCAGGCCTGAGAAACGTAATCTTCTGTCCACCATTGAGTATAACTTTGACATTTGAGAACTTTGCTATGTGACCAATCACATTGCCTACGAAATAACTTGTCGATCAGCTCAAGTATCATACATTCAGAACTAACATTCGAAACATCAAAACCAATATTACTCAGATTTCTTAAGCAAAACATACTTCAGTCACTCACTACCTATTAAATAGATGCCATGACATACATACTATATACCGCTTCATACATTCGGATAAGCACTCCTAAGTCTTATCTAACAACCTATGCGGATACAATTCAAGCATCAGAATATACACCTATTAAAGATCATAGGATAAACGAATAGAAAGCACATTGCATTTCATAGCACCATAAGGTCAAAAACGAAGACTACTACTATCTTAAGATAAAGCTGAAACCTACTTGGTGGAATCTTGACTCTACCAGTAATGGTGTAACTATCCTCAGACCTGCACAATAAACACACACAAAGACAACATAAACTAGAAGACAACTAAAACACGAGCTAATTGAGATGATGAAATAAAAGACAGAGAACGATTCATTACCCAGAAGAGCAAGGGAGAGTTGAAGTAAAGAAGATGAAGCAGATCTGCAAGAAGATGAAAGCTAGAATAGGACTGGATCTGATGATCGGCGTTGTCGTCGTCATCGTCGTCGTAAGCTCCAAAGACGATGAAGTCTAATGTTAGTCGTCGAATTCCGGCGACGAGGTTAAGGAAAGCAAAATCTAAACCTTCTGAGTAACAGAGAAGGTCCTGCTTTTGTTTTTATTTTTATTTTTACTTTTTTGTTTTACCCTGGAAAAACTGAGTTTTAACTCAACCCTATTTGGTGGAATGTTAAACCGGAATCTAGATACTAGTTTGCTAAAACGCAATCCAATTTGCAATTTTGCCGCAACTTTTTTTGGTGTATAATAATATATTAAGTTTTATATTGTTTTCTTGGCTTCATATATTTGAAGCACGGTCCTTTTTGTATCGAAAAGGCGATGGCTAAACTCTTTGTACTCTCGTAGGTAGTCACTACTAGAATGTCCCGAATCACCTTAATCACAGAGTCATCAATGAATGATAATCCGATTTAACTACAGCAAGACTCAAGTGCGTGAAGACTGCGATAAGATCATTAAAAAATTAAAAGACGTTGAATCACACTGTTGAGTTGCGATTATGGTGCGACAAGGTTTATTTAATTTGTTATTTACGATTTTACCCTTGTCTAACCAAAGAAATTACAAAGATTTAGTCTTTTACTTTTTAACGAAATTTTCTTCTCTCAAACATAGTCGGATCTTCAACACCATCATCGCCGACGATTTATTAGTCTAAATGAATTATCCTTCTAGATGAATTTTTCAACATGATCATTTAGTATTTCTCTATAATTATGTCCATAAGGCTCTTCTAGAGAAGGTTGTATTTTGGACTTGAATCAAGACTTAATCCATCAAATCTGTAGCAGTTCTCAGCTATTTCTTTTGTAAAAGGCAAAGAAAGCATATAGAGCATATGTTGAGGAAAAACGGTTAGAAGATCATGGTTCTACGTAGTTCAACGCCCTAGCCAGAGATGGTGAGATAATAGTACTCTTCTCGAGTACATGAGTTATGTATATTGATTCATTGTTCTGTTTTTGATTTGAATAACATGTTTGTGAATGAGTCTAGACTCATTTTGAGTTATGTTTTTTTTTTTTTTTACGTTCTAGTGTTACCACGAAGATCATGTATTAAAAGAAAAGTTGGATTTACATGTATTCATTGTGAGAACGTAACAAAAGTTAGTTCTGTGTCTTTTAGAGAATGTTTTATTGTTTTCTTTTGTGATGAAATAGCTCTATTTTGTAGGTTAAATGTTACAATTGTTAGTTTGTAAATCTTTGTATCATATTAATTGATTTTTTTTTTTATCTTTTTTCAAGAGGATTGGGATGATGCAAAAGCAACCAAAATTTTTAAAACATTGATTTTTCTAAGAAGATTTTAACTACATGTAAGACAATCTTTTAAAATATAAAATCTCATTTTAATGCAAAAGAAAAATTTGTTCAGAATTACTTTAGTTATCATATATTATAATATTGTTTTTAGATGGATGTTGGTTTACATATATAATTAATATATAAATTTAATTTAAGAAATGCTTATATATTATTATTAATCATACAATATAAATTTAATTAATGTAAAAAAAACTGAAAATACAAAAAATAATATAACTAGAGGCTAATTTGGAATTTTTGTTTTCTAACCGCACTCAAACCGCACTCAAATCGTATTTAAATCGTTTTGCCATTCAAGAAAATGATGTAATTTGATCGCACCCAAATCGTATCTTCATTCACAATTTTAGCTAATCTCATTATTCCCAAATCATATTGCTCCCGCACTCGAATCGCAATCGCACCTGAAATGGACTGCCATTCAGTACCTATAGGGCCAACAATACGACCAGACCAAATCTTCTAAGATAAACGATCCATAATTTCTTCTTTTTGAGCAAAAAACAGTCTAAAAATAATAATTTATGGCTGAAAAGCCACACAAAAAAAAAACAAATTATGAGCAAAAGGGGTCTGAAGAAAAAAAATATTTATAGAAAAAGGGCCCAAAGAAAGAATGTTATAAACAAAACGGATCTATTTTTAAAATTTATGGGCATAAAAAACTTATTTTTAAAAATTTGCCTAGGGCCCATAAAATGCTTAAGCCGACATTGGGTGTTGGTCTCTAATTGTTTTGGCTCATTTTGTAGGACCAACACCCAATGTCGGCTTAAATTCGTTTGCATAATGCTTAAGCCGACATTGGGTGTTGGTCTCAATACTTTCTAACTTTTGATTTGCCCTGACTGCTACATCTCAAACTCCTTGAGGTATCCTCAGGCCCCAGCTCTAGATCGTCAACATGAAGCTATAGGTCTTTATGCGTCCTTCGTAAGTCAGCCATGAAGCTATAAGTGTTTTTTTCTTGGACATAAAATAATTTCAACATTACTAATTTTTATTTATACACTTCGTAAATGTTTTGGAAAAAATATCACTTTTCGATACTTTAATGTAAAACAGATTTATAATATATCATATATTAAAATAAAAATAAAAATCTTCTTTTGTAATATTGTATTTATTATATTAGGTGTAAAGATTTATAGTACAAAAAGTCAAAGTTATTAAATACTAATTTAATTTATTGCCAAAAAGACAACCACATTCTAATTCAGTTTTACACTAAATTTGGTAGGTTTGAATATGACTTTTGATTTGACCAAAAAAAAAAGAATACCACTTTTGTAAATATTCTTGACTCAGGTTTTAGAATTTTCACATATAAGTAGTTTCAAACTTTAACAAAAAAATATAAGTAGTTTCAAACCTCTATAGCTACTACACAAACATCCAAATAAAAAATATTTACAAGATATTGATATCGCAGAAAATTAAAAAATATCAAGTAATGGATATTCGGAGATCTCCATACACTTTCATTGCGGTTTCTATCATTGTAATGTTCTTGATCACAGGTCAGTCATGTTGGTCGTGATCAAGTCTTCATGGTAGTTTTATTTAGAGTCTTATATTATAAAGTTAAGTAACTGAGTTTTGTTATGTATAAACTATTCGTATTACACACCGAAGAGATACGAATAGAATCGTTAACTGCAAAACAGTTACACGTGTATGTATGTGTCTCCACATTGGGTTGTCTTGTAGAGACGTGTCCCTTAGTCAAAGTGTGTCATGTAAACCTATAAATACAGTTTATATATCTAATAAAAGTGTGTGGTTTTACGTTATACAAAACAGAGAGAGATAAGACAAAACAGAGTAAGATCTGTGTTGTCCGATCCTTAAACACTTTGAGAGTTCAAAGTCTTACATGGTATCAGAGCTATGGAGACAACAATGCAGCAAGTTATTCCAATCTTCAATGGTGAATCATACGGGTTCTGGAAAATCAAAATGATTACCATCTTGAAGACACGAAAGTTATGGGAGATTGTCGAAAACGGAGTTACGGCGAATCCATCTTCTGAAAGCACATCGGAATCGATCAGAGAGAGAGAAGATCAATTGATGAAAGACATGTTGGCTCTCCAAATCCTTCAAAGTGCAGTCTCAGAATCTATATTTCCGAGAATTGCTCCCGCGTCGACCGCAAAAGATGCTTGGAATGCTTTGGAAATGGAGTTCCAAGGAAGTTCACAAGTAAAGATGATCAATCTTCAGACTTTAAGAAGAGAGTATGAGAATCTGAAGATGGAGGAAGGTGAAACCATAAATGATTTCACAACCAAGTTGATTAATCTGAGTAATCAACTAAGAGTTCATGGAGAAGAGAAGTCCGATTACCAAGTGGTTCAAAAGATTCTAATCTCCGTACCACAACAATTCGACAGCATCGTTGCGGTACTTGAACAAACAAAAGATCTATCAACTCTTTCTGTCACAGAGTTGATAGGAACATTGAAGGCGCATGAGAGGCGTTTAAATCTCCGAGAAGATCGTATCAATGAGGGTGCGTTTTATGGAGAAAAGCTTGGTTCAAGAGGAGGAAACAAGCAAAACAAAGATCGCCATGGGAAGACCAACATGTGGTGTGGCGTGTGTAAGAAGAACAATCACAATGAGGTAGATTGTTTCAGAAAGAAGAGTGAAAGCGTTTCACAAAGAGGTGCAAACAATGAAAGAAGATGCTACGTGTGCGACAAGCCAGGACACATAGCCAGAGATTGTAAACTTAGAAAAGGTGAAAGAGCACATCTAAGTATTGAAGAATCAGAAGATGAAGATGAAGATGGGTGTCATATGCTATTTAGTGCTGTTGAAGAAAAAGAGATCTCAACAATCAGAGAAGAAACGTGGTTGGTAGATAGTGGATGCACCAATCATATGTCTAAAGACATTAGATACTTCATAACCTTGGATCGCAGCAAGAAAATTACCATAAAGATTGGTAATGGTGGGAAAGTCGTGTCCGAAGGCAAAGGAGACATAAGAGTAACCACAACCAAAGGAGATCATGTCATCAAAGATGTACTTTATGTACCTGAACTAGCAAGAAATTTGCTTAGTGTCTCTCAAATGATATCAAATGGATATCGGGTCATCTTTGAAGGCAACAAGTGTGTGATCCAAGACGTAAAAGGAAGAAAAATCTTGGAGATCAAGATGAAGGACAGAAGCTTTCCAATTCATTGGAAAAATTCAAGAGAAGAAGCGTATGTGGCTTTCGAAGAAAAAGAAGAACAAACAAATCTCTGGCACAAGCGTTTTGGTCATGTGAATTACGACAAGATGGAGAAAATGCAAACGCAAAAGAGTGTAGAAGATCTTCCAAAATTCGAAGTAATAAAAGGTGTATGTGCGGCTTGTGAGATGGGAAAACAACCAAGGAGGAACTTTCCAAAGAAATCTCAAAGCAACACAAACAAAACCTTGGAGCTTATTCATTCGGACGTGTGTGGTCCAATGCAAACGGAGTCAATAAACGGGAGCAAGTATTTCCTCACGTTTATTGATGATTTCTCAAGGATGACGTGGGTGTATTTCTTGAAAAACAAGAGTGAAGTGATCACAAAGTTCAAGATATTCAAGCCTTATGTGGAGAACCAATCGGAGAATCGGATCAAAAGGCTTAGAACTGATGGAGGAGGTGAATTTCTATCGAAAGAATTCATCAAACTATGTCAAGAGAGTGGCATACAT